GGGAGAGAGGAATAGACCCCCGGGGCTCTTAGTGCAGGTGTCTCTTGATCTTAGAGAGCTGCTGACCTGCAGTTTTTATAGTTCGATTTTTCACAGTCAATGAGGAGAGACCTGGACAGGATGGTAATACCTCCTAATGAAGCAACTGATTAGTCCAATTAAGTCCTTTGGAGCTCAGCTAGAATTAAAACCTGAAGAAACGTAGCTCTCCAGCACAAGGGATACAGACCTACGGCATCTAAACCATCTTCTTCCAAACCTTCTTTTAACCAGCCGAGTTCACACTGACTTCATTACATAACCACAATCAGTTATACACAAAAATAATTTTGTCTAATGCCATTTTAATCAAGCTATACCAAAGCATATGTTCTATGAAAAAAATAATATAATGAATAATCAGATTATATAACCCATTTTTATTCCAATTTGATCATTTAGTTTGGATAATTGTATAGACTACTGAGATCGTGGTTAGAAAGAAATCTTACAGCTTTAGCTGCTTAAGTTATAAATCCTGCCTTAATATGGACAATATTGATTAAAAATATGCTTCTCTGTCTGTTATATCAACAGTAAAACCCTGTCCTACAAAGTGGCACCTCCCCAGACCTAATATTCAACATGATTTGAGAGTTCAGTTGCTTCCTTTTGATAAGATAACATCTAGTCAGCAGCATATACAGTAGCAACCATAATAAACATGTGAGTCTACCCTTTTTTTCCCCAATGACACCTGTCAGATATCAGCAACATCAACAGCATGACTGACTCCCAGATCTTAGGACAGATACACTTAGCATGACCTTGGGTGTCCTACACTTCTACATGTTCAATCAATTTTGTTTCTGACTGCCACCCAGAGATTTGAGTCAAAAGGGCAAGCACCTATTTTGCCTGGAGATACTGGTGCACAAATGTCTTTTGGTTTCTGGTGGCAGGATTGTGGCAACTCCCACGTAGGAAAGGCATGTTTCAGAACTAGAGGCAGAACTTCTCCCACACTGAAAACAAGAAAATGGTAAGCTAATACTGAATAGTATCTCCCTCTGCCACTTCAAAGGCCTATTCAACACATCAGCCCAGCAGGAAATAAAAAAATGTTTTCCTCAATTAGTACAAAGCACGGTTTAGTCTCCAGTATCTGGAAGCCTTTCATGCCACCTTGTACTACAAGGAGTACTAGTGAGTTATGTAACACAGGGAAGCCACCTGGCCACTTCACAAAAAAGAGACTCAGCCCATCTTATGACTGAGGGTAGGATGTAATTACAGTACTAGTTTTTGTCATTCCCATTTCCCAAAGGAGAAGCAGGTTACTGCCATGAGGAGAAAAATGTTTTTGAAGATGATAAACAGCAAAGTGTTCTTACTAGTGTACCATGATGTTCATCTGCTGGACAAATATCTTAATTTTTCTTGTACAGTGTTCCTATTTTACACTAAAAAAAGCTACAAGAAATCACTTTCATGTTTATTTCAATGCATTTTAGCACAATTATGCCTTTTACATTGCAAAAGGCAAACAGCTATCAAAGTCTACACTAACAAATACTTTTTTATAGCGTGCTAAAGGATTAGAGATTCTATGAATCACTGCCATTTAGTGATAACTATTTATATAGAAGATTGTTTTAATGCCATAAGGTGGCACCTGTAAGAGGAAAAAAATATCTAAAACTCAGAATCTAATGAGCAAGTTCAGGATCGAGTGCAGTTACGAGCAAAAATCAACAACTTACCAGCTAGCAAAAAGGTTATCAAACAGGTCTCCTTTGGCATGTAAAGTTTTAGACGAGAGCCACTGAAGACGTACTCAACCACTGCCTCAGAACGTCCAGCACGTTGCAAGAATGGTAAGAACTGCTTTGCTTTCTGAGTTTCCTGCAGAAACAAAATAAATTGTTGTGTTAACATATTAGCTGAAGGTAACGCAGGCAAGTACTAAATTGATAAGCTTAACAAACAGCTGAAATTATTTCATTAGAAACTTTTCAATTGATACTGGCCACCATTTTTCCAAACTGACAAATGAATTGGGTTCAAAAAGCCAGAACACAAACTCAGAAGACCAACTATGGCACCTGTCACAAAAAAAGGCTGTGGTGACTTTTAAGATTATTAAACATTAAGAACATTTTTTTTCTCCAATGTTAGCACAGAGGTATAGAAATCATCCTCCCCGGTATTTAATAATAATAATAATAATAATAATAATAATAATAATAATAAAGTAGTAGTAGTAGTAGCAGCAGTATTATTATAATTATTAATGTCTTACACTTATATAGGACTTTTCTGGACACTCCACTCAAAGCGCTTTACAGGTAATGGGGACTCCCCTCCACCACCAGTGTGCAGCCCCCACCTGGATGATGCGACGGCAACCATAGTGCACCAGTACACTCCCCACACACCAGCTCTCAGTGGGGAGGAGAGCAGAGTAATGAAGCCAATTGATAGATGTGGATTATTAGGAGGCCATGATTGATGAGGGCCAATGGGAAATTTGGCCAGGACGCCAGGGTTACACCCCTACTCTTTTAGAGAAACACCCTGGGATTTTTAATGACCACAGAGAGTCAGGACCTCGGTTTTACGTCTCACCCGAAGGATGGAAAAGAGGCAGATCTCCTTGATGGCATTATTTTCCGAAGTTAGCACCAATTGGAAAAACAATGTCCCATTTTCAGCAGATGTAATGTCAGAATTGTATCACAGTGCATATAATTTTGGAAACAAAAAATAAAGTACCTCCTGGCTAAGTTTAACCAGAAAAGTTGAAATTGGTTTTGCAACCTTCTTCAATTAAGGATGAGTTTCATAGAAAAAAATATTTTTAAAAAACCTTCAAGGAACATGGGATGGATCTACAACGATACCTTTGAAATGTACCATAAAATTACATTACTTGGACAGTAGATTTTAGCTTTGGTCTCTAAAACAGTGCAGAGTACCGTTGCAAATAGCCAAATTCCCATATAACTAAGTCCAGCGAATACTGTTGCATAACATTCGTTACAATATAAAAACAAGACTGCGTTGAAATGCAGATGCTGGGGAGTGGATACTTGGGCAGGGGGGCAGGAGACACGTGCATAAGCAAATTTGCAAATGTTAAATTTGCAGATATTGAAACTCTACTGTATAATACTAAACATTCATATCACAAAATCATGACATCATAGGCTCCCTGACCAATGAATACCAAAGTAATAAAAGTTATATAAAAGTCCGTATTTCACAAATATTTATGGAATATGTAGAATGGACATAGTTGTCCAGATCTTCTGAATATATGAAACATGCTTATTGCATTCTATTAAATCTGCTAATAAAAGGGGTGGAGCGGGGGCTCTGTGGCTCAGGATCTGCGCCTGTGGCTGGAAGGTTGCTGGTTCGTATCCCGCGGCCGGAAGAGGAATCCTACTCCGTTGGGCCCCTGAGCAAGGCCCTTAACCCCAGCTGCTCCACGGGCGCTGCATAAATGGCTGCCCCTGCGCTCTGACCCCAAGCTTCTCTCCCTGTCCGCGTCTCTCACGGAGAGCAAGTTGTGGTATGCAAAAAGATAAATTCCTAATATAAGAAACTGCATATGGCCAATAAAGTGATCACTCTTATAAAAAAAAAAAACACTTTGCCATTTTGGGGTTTCCTCAACTTCAAACATGCTTACGATTAACCCTGTACAGTGCAAAGTTAATGTCCCACATCCATTACAGTTATTTTCTTTAAACATTTGTCAGGCTTAAATCAATGGAACTTAGAATGTTTGTTTAAATGCACTCAATGGGCTACAGGAAACGGGAAAAAAATTACCCCCTACCTTGTAATGGGTTTAGAAAAATAAATCCTTTACACCCTGGACAAGGGCATCATTCACAATCCCCTCGTGTGAAGGACATGAGCATTCATTGTTTACACTGACAATGGTATTTCTGAGTACAAACATGATTAGCGTGGGAGCATGTGCCACCACAAAGAGCAGAAATCAAGGACATATAGATTTTCAACTACAAACAGGGATAAGAGTAAGCATCACCTCAGCACAGCTAATCCATAATCATATTCTGTGGCACAGACTAAACCACCCCTACCTTGTCAAAAGGCCTTTTATCTATCCTCCATTCACTAATGAATGAAGCCCAGTATAGGATCAGGGGCACACACTTGGTTATGAAATGCTCCTCTAGAAATCATAATGTGCAGTAAAAGTTGCATACGCTCAACCAGAAGCTGAGGGGTTATAAATGTGTGTGTAGGGTGTAAATATTCTACAGCTGCTGCACTGTCCTGAAAGACCTCTGTATTTGAACTTTTTGCAAATTCAAAGTATTTTTCACTAGAAGTCTTTGCTGTGGTCAATGGAATATGCAAACACTGTAAATTCCAGTGGAAACTATTACAAAAAGTGTTTCACAGACTCATATTGGAGTACTGAGAGAGCAGAACATCTACTGGCTGTTTAGAACCATCCCTCATAGGGAGCTAATAACATTTAAGTGGCACAATCAGAGTAGGAAATAAAAACAGACCTATGTTACTTGCTTGAAAAAGCAAAGCTTTCAGCTGACACACTATGTAGATTTGTGGATCCCCCTGTATATTACTCATTCATCTAGGGATTATTTACTCTTTTCACAGCAATGTTTATTGAGAAGATACCCAATGAAGCCAAGCAGACGTAGCCAAGCTTAACTCCAACCTTTCTGGGTTCAGCAGCATGGCAATAGCAGCTGATAAGTGTCAAAAGCTTAAAAAGAGGCACAGAGAAGTCAACTGGATTAGAGACTGCTCGCTGATCTTTGGTGACTTAACAAGTTCAACGCCAGTAATGTTGCATTTGAATTAAGACTTCAAGTTAATAATAAAAAATGCTACAAAGAGGACAGGAGGGTAATGATTCAAATGTTTTTAAAGTATTCCGAAGCAAACGTTTTCAGAAAACACAGGTTAAATTCATATTTGATAGATCGATAAAACAAAGCAGATTAAAAATCGCAAGAATGATGGAATTGCAAGCATAAATGGAAAAGTCAATTCCAACTGTAATAAATGCAGAGAATAATCAGGAATAGTATAATACTGTCTTCATAGATTCTGTTTCATTCCTCTTGGAGCGTCTGTTCACTAGCTTTAGGTGCCTGACACCATTTAGGTTCATGTGACAAATGTTCAGTGGGGCTCAGGTCTGAAGAGTAGGGAGTACCCTATAAAGGCCTCATCTCGTCTCACAAGAAGGACGTTTTTAAATGAGCAGCACAAGGATGAGTGAGCCAGCAACCATATCACCCTGCAGCTCACAACTGACAACTCACTGAAGCTAAGCAGGTGTGACCCTGGTCAGGACCTGGATGAGAAACAAAACTAAGGCTGCTGCTGGAAGTGGTGTTAGTGGGGCCAGTAGTGGGAAACTATAGTGTGAAAAGGTGCCGTCCTTCAGATTCAGGTGAGACATAAAACCCAGGCCCTGACTCTGTGGTCATTAAAAACCCCAGGGTGTTTCTTGTAAAGAATAGGGGTTTCACCCCAGTGTCCTGGCCAAAGTTCCTTTTGGCCTTTACCAGTCATGGCCTCCTAATAATCCCCATCTGTGAACTGGCTTCATCACTCTGTTCTCATCCCCACGGATAGCTGGTGTGAGGTGAACATACTGGTGCGCTATGGTTGCCATCACATCATCCAGGTGGGGGCTGCACACTGGTGGTGGTGGAGGGGAGTCTCCATTACTTGTAAAGAGCATTAAATGGAGTGTCCAGAAAAGGGCTATATAAGTGTAAGGAAATTTTAAGTTGAAAGGAGGTTCCAAGACTTCTTGCCTAGCTAGTCTCCATGGGGGAAATGTTGCAAAATCCTGCAAACTAGTTCTAACAGTGGCCAAACATGCAACCAGCCAGCGACATTCACGATACACCCTCTGTTCATGATCTAAGTTAACCAGCATAATGAATTTACTATATCATTGCTGTTCAATATCAAGACACCCTACTACAAAAAAATCCAGTGATCTATTACAGTTTCTTTTGCTTCTCTGCATAATATTATCATTTGATCAACCACACCATATCTTCTAAAAGCAACAGCTAAAATGCTCTTTAAAGTATTTCAAGAAATCCATTCAATGTTAATTAAATAAAACCACAAAAATAAGAAATTTTACTTAACAGTTATTTAAAGTAGACTTAACAGCACAGTGCTCTGTCTGAAGTGTCTGGGCTCCCCCATGGGAAGAATGAGCAATTCCCTTAGCATGCATTTCAGTCACTTATCCTTCTGACTTCCAGGAGTGAGAAGAATGTTTCAGTTAAGAGTGTTACAGAACCCCAGAGAGAGATTTCTAAAGTGGCACATGTGAGGTAAGTCTGTAATATGTTTGTGGATTTAATACACAGAGGATGCTCTAGTTAACAAAACTCAATGATAGTAGGCTTGCTGCATCATTCACTTAAAAGCACTAAAAGAGCAACCTTGCTAGATTTCCAAAATTCAAAATTTGATTTTCCACTTAGGAAGGATACAGGTCATTCTGGTGAATAAAGATTTGATTATGAATGAGATGCTGAGTGTACAGTTGCAATCTTAAATATTGCAAATAAAGGATGCTTTACAAAATGGTGCACTTGCAACTGCAAAACAAAAGCAGGGGACATTTTCTTCACATGCATACTTCAGAGAACGAACTGCCAGATCTGTGAGCTAACAGCCTCATCTGCAGCACAATCTGAATTACACTTCCTTTTTTAGTAAAAAGAAAAAGACAAAGGCAGTAATCATTAGGTAACCACAATAATTCCAAATAAATTACAAATTAGCAGATATGCAAGGGTTTAATATTGATTAAATTACTACAATAATGTTCATGACTAAAATGCTGATCTTAACAA